TATTCAGAATAGTTGTTTATATTTTGCGTGTGATCAATTCAGGGAACAAGAGCCGGGAATGCGCGTGTTATCTCTGACCTATGGAATAGACTGGGTCTAGTGCAGCACCATCCAAGGCGATGGTGGTAGCGCCTTTTACGTCGATGTGTGCCATGAATCTAGCAATATATCCCCGGGATTTTTAATGCATCTTGAAAACTTGAAAGTGAGTACAGTTGTGATTTAGCCATATTTTGTTGAGTTGCCAGATAAATGACAACCCAGAGAATCCCAACCCAGAAGCAGACAGGCAACAATAGTCTTTCGTGTATTCCCCAAAGTACAAGTTTAGGACTCCAGCGATGGGCGATAGGCCCCTGTTACTGAGAGGGCGGCAGGTATACGAACGCACCATAGCGCACCGCAAAATGGGGACGCCTCACGTAAAGGGATCTGGAATAGTCACGTGAAAAGCAGACAGGCAACAATAGTCTTTCGTGTATATCCCAAAGTAAAAGTTCAGCACTCCAGCGATGGGCAATACGCCCCTGTTACTGAGAGGGCGGCAGGTATACGAACGCACCATAGCGCACCGCAAAATGGGGACGCTTCACGTAGAGGGATCTGGAATAGTCACGTGAAAACTCATCATTTTGTAGTAGCGGAAGTGAAATCATTGAAATTATTCAGTTGTTTTAGCGGCAATCACATTCAACAACCCGGAGCGTCCGCCTTGCTTGGGTGAGCAACTATATGTTTTCTACTCCTATCAGCTAGCAGGTGTCTTATACCGCAGTAACTTTGCATGGGGCAGTCCGCACCAGCACCACCACTTTGGAGCTTGCTCTTATTCGGATATCTACGACTTTTGTCTTTACCGATGAATAATACAAAGTCTCTAACTCGAAAACATCGGCGGTTTTGCATCCACTTGCGACGCAACTGCAAAAAGCGGAAAGTACTCCTTCAACTACCGACGCCAAAAGATATCAGCCAACACTTGCACAGCACCCCGAATATCGGATATATCTGTCGCATAGATTGGTCGCATCTACTGATAGGTTGAACCTTCCACGCAATAATAACACTTGACTCGCTGCCAGCGCTCGAGGGAGCCTTGTGTAGCGTGCCACGCGTCTTTCCTTACTACTCCAAAGGTGTTCTTGCAGTGCTTCGAGATTAACAATTAAATTTGCATATGACGTGAAGTTTTAGAGTTACAGAGACAGTGCGCTTAGAACAGATGCCAACGCTGAAAGCTGATGGTCTGACTCTGTCCTTCAGATTACGGAAAGTGTCTTCATATGTTGTCTGTTAGGGAGCCACCATGCGGAGGTGATGAAAAGGTAGTCCTTAATTGGGAGCAAGTAATCGGCATCCTTCCGAGCATGTTTCCATTGCTTTTTCAAAACATATAGGTTCAAAAGACATTCTTCTGTTTTCGGTTGGTTCAACTGACTTCCCTTTCAGCGCCTGCATATGCTTAAGGCCGGCTCCTGTATACGTCAAACAATCCGTCTATTAGGGAGGCATGAAGGGCCTAAACTCCATTGAACGTATGCAGAGAGCTGTTTAGTTAACCAGCGAACACTTATGGATATCCCTGATACGTTTATCACACGGAAATTCCATCGCCAAACGCATCTGATTCTTCCGCTCAGTTGAGATGAGCTTTGTCCGAGAACTTTCTCAGTACTAATACACGACGAGCTACGGCAGATGGCTATCCAAATTCAGAGCATACTGTTTTGTCAGGAAGTAATTTTTTCTTTGGCCCGACACTTGTCCCCGATGCATCCTGCAGCCAGTCGAAATAATTTTGGTGCTCATTTATGATTCCTCGTGTCAGTGAGGTTACTGTTTAATCCTAAGAATCTTAGAGCGATACTACGCCCATTTTTCCGTGTACACGTAGGTGACCGCAATATTTTTATAAAACGGGGTGAATCTGACCGCGAAAGTTTGAGGAGAACACATCTATTCCATATATCAAGGCATCAGTTTCTGAATGGAAACTGTGAACTGAAATCCATTTTCGTTGTGTTGGGTATACTGGCATTCTAGGTCGTCTACAGCGCGGGCTTGCAATGACTCAGACGGCCAGCCTGGATGACTTGGTTAGGAGGTTCCAGTCCTTGGTTCAGGAGTGGAATAAACAGAGCCACAATTTAGATGTATGTGCCGAAAAAATCAGGGATATCACGGTAGTTGTGTTTAGATGTTGTGATTAGTTTTATCCACTTTAGCTTTCACTGACGCGACTTGTCTACATACCGAAAGAAGAAAATGAGGCTTCTAGACGTGAACTCTTTATTGCAAGTAAATTGCTCATTGTGTAACGGCGTGCATGTGACACCTAGGAGATACTTTGGAGATAGCATGTTTCCTCGCGCTTGAGAAGAGAGATATTCCTCTTTTTGAGCATTACATGGCTCAGCTGAAGTCCTACTATTACGACTACAGGTATAGAATTCAGTTCACGTATAATCTTTGATTAGGTCCCATTTGCCGGAGTCTGCGGTGAAGTATGAACTCCTAGGGTTGAATTTACTGCGACTTTTAGCCCAGGGTCGACTGGCGGACTTCCACACTGTAACGCGCTGTTTTATTCTGACTGTTTCAGGAGATAGAACGTTTGAGTATTGAGGAGATTACCTCAAATGTTTACATAAATCATCCGGTTTCGATGGAGCAGCATTTAATGGAGGGAAATTTTCAGCGAGTGTTCTTATCAAAAGACAACGTCCCTTCTAAACGGTATGATTTCTTTATCGACATCCTCCTGAATACTACCAGGTAAAAATCCCGTTGAATACCGACTTATACTTCAGGGATGAAGTGGCGTCCTGCATTGAAGCTGCTTATGAGAGCCTATCATTGCAAGAAGCAGCCCGTACTTTATTCTTCGACAACCAACAGTCCATGTTAACCTACGGGGCGCAGGTAAGCTGCCGGGTAATTTTTCTAACAACCAATAGCGCAATTGGACACTCGACAGCAACAACGTTTATCACTTCCAAAAGGACACGAAGCAGGAAGATGATTCGATTCCCTCATCGGATGTCACAAAAGTCATGTTAGAGTATACGAAGGAGCTTGATCAAATTATATAATTTTCGGTGACAGTTGATTTTCAACCTTTTTACGTTCCTTGTACTTCCCGGCATGATACACCTCAGTTGTGAGTTATGAAGCTTAGTTTTTTACGAGCACGGTGCTTCTTAACTGTCTTAGTTGGAACACGATAACTTCGAAAATGTGCTTTCGTCGTTTCGTGCTTGAATGGGGTCTAAAAGATTCAAAGTGTTTATCGAAATAGGCATCAAAGCTATATCATATGGTTCTTTACCTGACTGGGTACCAGATCGACCTGTACGATTTGCGGCTTATCCTGGTGTCCGATCCAGTTTGTCTTTGTACAATGATGTTGCCTGCTCGTTTCAGTCGATTATTTAAAGGGTATCTGCTGTTCTCTGTGTGTGCTGACCTGCGGACAAATGGAGCCGAGACAGCTCAAGAGTTAGGTGACACTGCTCGGGCACAAAGTGGGTCAAAAAGAGGTTAGCCCACTGCCAGAAAAACTAGCAAAGTTCCAGCACTTTGCTGCCCCAACTCAAAGCGGTCCCTACGGCAGTTTCTCGGACAAGCAGCATACTACAGCCGGTTTGTCCAGGATTTCAGCACAACTGGTGCTCCGCTGTACGACTTGATGCGGCAAAATAGGAAATTCGAATGGGCAAGGGAAGCGTACAAGGCCTTGAAACACGTCAAATCGTGGATGCGGGATCGGCAATTGACCCGCGAATTGCCCAGAGTCGGGGAGATGCTTATTCTTGCAGCGGACGGTAGTGACCGGGGTACCGCAATCCCGAAGCAGAGGAAGGGCGTCATCGAATAAGCCGGTTGTATACTGACTAACGCCGTGCAGAAGTGCTCAACTGTTGAGAAAGAACGTTTAACGATCGTCCGGGCTTTGGGTAAGTGGAGGCCATCCTTGCTGGGACAAGGATTTCACGTCGGGGCCGATCAAAATCCCTTCGAGAGGATCAGGACCACCAGAGATCCTCGCGGAGAGCTCATGCGCTTGGCACTCAAGTGATAAGAACATAACTTCAGGATCCGATACGTGTCAAGAAAGGAGAACTACCTGGCTGACTGGTTGTCAAGACCAGAGGTCGGAGATGAAGCCCCGAAAATCACGATTGGCGCCAATAGCCTCGACGTCAAACTGGACCCCGGAAGGTTGGTGCAACTGCAGTTGCAGGATCCTGTATCACGGAAGGTTGCAGCCGCCCTTTCGGATGGAAGGACTATTGAGAACGGGGGGGGGGGGGCAAAGAAATGGAGACGTTCCCGAGTCACTTCGATAGGCCGAATCTGAGTGAAGCTAATATAGTATCCTGGAACGCCACCGATTCTGATGTGCTGCCCGTGATACCTCACGTTTTTGAACCAAAGCTGACCATCGAATGTCACGAGATGGCAAACACAGGGTGCACATATGACTTATTTCGGCAGAGAGCCTACTGGCTCGCGATGAGAAGTGATGTGATGGATTATGTAGTGTCCTGTAAGCGGTGCCAATTGATGAAGGGATACGATGGCGGCATCTCACTCCATGGAACCCGTCTCTGTATCAGAGACCGGCGAGTTTTGGTCGGTTGACGTCGTGGGCCCATTCCCGGTGACAACCAGCCGAAATCAGTAATAATGACAAAAAACCCGTCGCAGTGGATCGAGGCGGCGGCCGCAATCAACAAACTGGTAATGCACCACATCGTGACCAACCACAGGTGCCGAAAATCATTTCAACGGGTCAGGCGCCTTGTTTTGCGAGCGAAGAGTCTAGGTGTTGCCTGCAGAAGTTGGGCGTCAGACGACTATGGGTTGCACCTGCCACCCGCAAACAACCGGTCTAACCGAAAGATTAAGGAGTGGCTGAGTGGAAGCGACCGAGAGGTAGACAACGTATGATCTGGCAACAAAGCACGAAAACATTAACCAGTAAACTTAGTCGGATGGGCAACTGTCGCCTCCCTGAGTGGGGGCCTCGGGACTCAAATCACCAGTGGTTAATGACATTGGCGGAAATGGCCAGATCACGCAATCAGTGGATCTTGTGCATAAAAGCTATCGTCTTCAATGCTTGGCCACCCAATTTCCGAACAAACTGAACATGCCTTCGCCTCCAAGGCTTGGTTGTGTATTCCACTTTCCCATTTTTTCGGTGACGCCCCCCCTCTTACACTTTCACGTTTTCCGTCTTCCACCCTCCCCCGCCCAAATTTGAATACTTTATCTGCAGGTCCCAGCTCTAGGACTGACCGTTTCGCTCGCCCTGCATCACACTCAGCTGCAGCTTCTGCACGTCCGAGTTCAGTTGCAACCCTAAACACTTCGAAGTCTGTTTTCATACCCCGAAAGCCTGTCTACTTAGCCACCTTCAATGTTCGCACACTGAAGCAAGCAGGTCAACAGGTGGCTCTTGCGCGTACGCTGGATTCCCTCTGTATTGATGTATGTTGTCTGTCAGAAACAAGGACGCAGGACGCAAGTACTGTAATCGAACTGACTGACTCTATTTGCATTTTTTAACCCCTCACGGACTTTAACCCTTGGTTTGTCGGACCAGTTTGGTCGGCCATTCTTTACGCGGGCTTTTTGACCTATTTGCTTTACCACGTGTTGTACCCAGGCGTGCGTCGCAAACTAAGATCGATTTGCTATCTTCTCCGGGCTTTCTTTGAACTTGCACCACTTCGTGCAACAGTTTGGACGGAAACCCACTAATTTGAGGTTCATACCCCTTTTATTACGTATTTTATACATGTAGTGCCACATCTTTCGATAAATTTCAAGAATCCACAATTTCTGGCTTGTGATTTTGCGCGTCACTCAAGTGGGCTCTCCTGAATTCGTCGAAGTATTCTACAGCGGGATTGGACTTCTAGAATATCTTCCTGGTCAGGTGTTTAATGCATGAGTTCTGTTATATCAGGAGAAACATTTTGTGCTGGATAAATAGTCACTATTCCTCGAAGCACCGCTATCATCTCTAACCCGTAGATGTCGCATAGCCAATTTCTACCAATGGTCATTTTCTATCATTGGGAGCAGTGAGTAAATGTACTCTCTGTTTGGATGACGGAATGGGCTTTGGTGCAATGTAGCATCTGTTGTGACGAAGGCAAATACAGCTATGCTCGCCGATCTAGGCCATGGGCATTTCAGAGTACCTTCGGGCTATCCCAAGTGATCTTTTAATTTTTTTACAGATGAGAGACCAGCTTTTTTCATCTGTGGTTTATGGCATTGCCAGATGCATAACCCAACCGAGGCGAGCCGAACGCCAGCAGCAACAAACAGAAGTCAGCAGTACTTTTTCTGATTCCCTGAATTTAAAGGCCAAACTCAGGACCACCGCGATGGGCGGTGCACCCGTGATACTGGAGGGGTGGCGGGTATATTAACGCAACGTAACAGAGCGACCCTCACTGTAGGGCTTACCCGTCCTCCACACGAAATTTTTCTCCCTCGTGCATGCTACCAGATCTGCAATGTGGAAAACCATCCAAGCGGTCGTGAGCGCGGTTTGTGCATTAACAAATAATCCAACGACCATTGTTTTTGGTCAGGGAAAGCAAGGCCAGTGAAGACAGCCCAGTCAGTCCGAACGAGCAGCAGCAAACAGACGCTGGTAGAGGCAAGTCGCGAAGGAGAAGTAAAATGATAGTTGTCATTGAGTCGGTGGGACTGGAATGTTGATACCCACGGCGATTGCACCAAGGCTAAACGGCGTTGGGGCGTTGTTGTGGGCTGCCACGTCGAGCAGAAGCGTTCCGCGACAGTGTGTGGGAGTAATTAGTGGAGCAATTCATCAAATGGGTATATATAAGCACAGAATGCGCTCTGATAATGAAAAGAAGATATAAATCGACTTTAGTTTGGTTTTTAATCAGTTAGAGTTGGAGTGAAAGCAACAGAAACTAGACAGAGCTGAAAGAGTAATCCGGGGTGTGGACTGGACTAGGACGAGGTATAAGTTCACTGGGGTAACAGAAAACAACCGGATCAATAACACTGTCTAATTAGAGTGAGGAAGAAAAGAGCTAATTTTGGTTTGGTTTCTGCCAGTAGGGTTTTGCCGAAAACAGTGGACGCTAAACAGTTAATAGAGTAATTCGGTGTAAGGACTAGACTTGTACGGGGTGTAAGTTGGCACGGGGAAATAGGAAAAAAAGAAAAGAATACAACCAGGCCAGTAACGCTGCATATTTTGATCAGGTTTGCATTTGATTTCTTTATTAGCTTAAAGTGGGTCAAGAGGCTAGGAGGAGGCAATAGCAGAATCCTTTACTTGATCCCTTACTGTAACAGTGCTAAACTCAAATACGCACTGGACAGATTCGTAAAGGAGGTCAGAGGGTGTTCGAGTCTTAAGTAGGGCGGCAGCAGTTTCACAGGTAAGGAATTTGTCTACAGACTGAGAAAAAGTAAAGTAATGCGTGGTGCTTCGCAGTTGTTCGGGAAGGCTGTTCCACACGCGGGCGTAATAAACTAAAAAGAAGTAGTAGCGTAGGTTTGTACGAGTTAGGGGACACACTAAGAAGTTGCAGGAGTTACGGAGTCTATAGCGAGGTTGTGAATTTATACTTGGTCTAGCCTCTGCTATAAAAGCGTTCTTACGCAGTAGACGGTGTGGGAGAGTTAGATTCAATTTTAACCGTCTGAGCCACAGTGGTTCTAGACCTAGGATTTGACAGCGAGAGCGGTAAGATAGGAGGATTGACCGAGAAAAAAGCTTTTTCATAAATGAGCGTTGGACACTTTCAATTGAGAGTCTGGAACTTTGGGTGTACTGTGATTTCCGCGCTCACTGCAAGTACATTTTTGGAAATAGGCACTACCATCAACTCACCCCAGGTGGTTTGGTAGGTCTCTTTCATCCAAATGGATGCATATGACTAATAATGACGATAATAACAATACTGGTAACGGTAATAATAATCACCATTATCAGGAACAGCGACACCAGTGTTGACAATGTTATTTCGCTGCCACACAACTACAGAGTTCATTGAATTAGATTAAGTCTGAAAAAGAAAAGATTAGATGACGGATAGAACTGGTACCAAACTTCCGCAAGCATTCTGAGGTGAATACACTTCCAAGCTCTCCATCAGATAACCGGGAAGAAAGTGACAGCGCGAACGCCGTTGACACGGATTAGCCACAATTTCTTGCACCATCTCTAGGTATGTTGCAAGGGGTCACGAGGACCCAATCCTGAAAGGGGGACCGCATAAACAACTCACACACTCTTTGTAATCTCTTTCAAATCCTCGTACAAAGTCATTCTCTGTCCACCTTATGGTTTGCGGCAGTCTGAAAGAGGTACGGAGAACAAAACTCGCCTCCATAGACGATGTTTCTGCATAAGTAGCACGTGGCTGAGCTATCGTACTTACTGCACAATCTTATACCCGTTTTCTAATTACCTCGTTGTGAATAAGTTGATGCCATCCGATACCAGCAACGTTTCTGAGCAACCGGTGATCAAAGACCTGAAGAGAGCTCAGAGATTCTGCTCGCAGAGGCATGTCTCGTAAACAAACAACAATACAGCCCTTATTGTAGCCTGGTACGGGCAGCCATTGAGATCCAGTGATTCGCTGTTTTGACGCAACAAGTAACGCAAATCAGTAAACGTGGTTTGGGCGTTGGAGGTTTGTGCACGGACTTCATCAGACACACTTCTTTCAGAGCTAAAACAACTGTTGATATATGAAGTTCTTCACAACGTACACTACATCAATCCGAAGGGGTAGATTGAGAGACTGCTTGTCCTGAGAAATAATTTTGAAATTTGTAAGTGAAGTGAATTGTAGTCAGGAGCACTGACCGGTCGACAGAATGGACCATACCCGCGAAACTACGGAACACTGTAATATAGTATGCGGTTATATGAATTTGTGTGATTTATAACAGGACGTCCCTGCCTAGAAAGTAGGACGATTAGTGTCTTCTGTCAAAGCCTTTCACTCCAAAGCCCAATCACAAGGTAGCGATGGTTGGTGTAAGAACACCAGAGGAGCCTACAGCAAGTCGCGGCTCACGTTCTAAAGCTCGACATGGAGGACCGGGAGACTGCGTTTGTCAGGCATTCGCCAACCTTGTAAGAGGCGCTGTGTCACACGTGCATCTTTCATTATAGTTGGATGGAATATTGAGCTGCACAAGCCGTCATATGGTGAGATCCAGTCTCCTCGTGATGATCAGATCACACTCTCGAAAGCGAGTCTGCGGCACCCCAAGGTGAAGCATTACAATAATGTTTTTTGACTGCATTAGTCTAATGTTTTACTATGGGTGTGCGTTTTAAGAATAACAGTTTTTGTTTTCGACGGTCAAAAGACAAATTCAATGTATTGTTTTAGCGAAAATCGGCAAAAGTGGTACCCCTCCGAGGGAGACCGTCTCACCAACTAGGACCAATGAAGCTACCCTCTATGAGTGATCTTTGTTATGAAGAATAACTGAAATTCTATGGTGGATAAATCAAAGACAATACTAGGATCATTAAGTAAATCAGGATACCTAAATATCGGGACTTCTCATTTTACCGTCCAAATGATTACAGGAATATGGCGACGCCTTGGTCCTTGTGACCCTTAGAACGAGATCCTAGCTGTTACACAGGTGATCATCATAGTGTCTTGCACACAGATACGGACACAAGCTCATCTGCAATATGTGGAGCATCGTGATAAGGCATGAATGCAGCTGGGACGGGCGTGGATGAATTGAAGAAATTAACCGCGAATGACAAATTGGTAAGAAAATATACACACAGTAGGACGTTTGCAAACGCACTCATTGGTTAGGAAGAGGACAGTCCCAGTTTTTGCGCTTAATTCGGACTGCCCTCAGTGGCATTCCGACCTTCGGCGCGATGCACTATGCACATCAGAATAAAATCAATCTTGAATTCAGTGAACGAGTTCCACGTCAAATCAGAGCGGAAAAAATCGAGAACGGATGTGGCTTTAACAACATATCGTGAAATGCACTCATGCTATGTGGATTTGAAGTGGAATGAAATCGGTGAAAACACAAGAAAGTATGTCCGTGCCAGGAAAATCTAATTTCATCGTACGTTAGTTTTGTTAAAATGGCCTGAATCAACCACATGGTACGCTAGTGTAATTTGTCCAGGTGGATTAGAGAGCTCACTTTCCGCTAGCACGACGGTCTTCACGTGTTCCGAAAACATACAACCTCTCACGGGCTCCGTATCGGCCTCGTAGATACTGCGGGATTAGTTAAGTTTGCTTACCATGGCGGCTGTACCTCTAGTGACACGATTAGTGCTAACGCAGTGAGAACTGCTATCCCTTGTCACCAGTCGGCTCCAATATCTGGTAATGACCTGTCAATGAATTGTCAGTGAATTGCAGGGTGAAATGCATTCACAACTGTTGTGTGTGTTGAAGGCAAAAGAAGTTGGCAAATTTTTGATAATCAGTTCCTTTACTATTGCACATGCAAAAACATTGGATATAAAAAGCTCATTTGTAATTACTGTTTTAGTGGCATCTCGGTTGCTTGCCTAGCTGGTAGTATGAACTCAACTGGCCAACCTATTTCTGTCATGTACTGTGCGTGCCTGGCGACTGAGTGCCTCTGTATTCGGCTGTCTGTTCAGATCATGGGTTAATGTATAGTGTGGAGGTGAAACATGAGAGGATTAACAACAGGACCCAGTCGTTGGATTTGTTTACTGACTATCTTAGTAGACGATAAGCGAAAAACTATGACGACAGAACCGTATGAACACCTGGCTGCATCCATGCTACGGCTAGAACGAAGACTGTAGTGTTCCTTTGTAATGTACTACTCATAAGGTTGCTAAAAATCCGTCGACAGCCTACTGTGGTGTTCCATTTTAGGATTTCAGAATGACAATCAACGGAGCTCAGACGTTTCATGAGGCGAGCTAGTCGTCCAACACAGTCATTCATAGGAAGTGGCAACATGGAGACTGTTGATAATTAGGCACCGGTTCTGGTTATATCTATGTAACTGAAGGCCAACACCGACCGTCCGGCGTCCGAGGAGCCCGTCGTGAATATGTGATCATTGGGTGGTTAAGCGGAGGGCCAGAGAGCAACAGGATAATATGACAAAAAGACGCCAAATTCCCGGGCTGTAGTATCGAAAAATACAAGGGGCTTCGAGGCCAGACCTGAATAAGCCCAACTGGTGGTCTGAGGCTGCGATTAGGTTCGGATGGTGTTCCGACCATTAGGAAGAAGTCACATATATTTATAGAAAATCTATTTGTAATGAGCACTTATGAGTAAGGTTTCTTCCAGTTTGTCATTCAGATCCGGATCGTTCATAAACACGAATAACCGCTGGGTATGGGGTCGTAGTTGAGGCGTGAAACGCAAGCCAAACTGAACTGTTTCTTTCGCGGGCACTTCCACTTGGCACTCCTGGAATGAAGTTAAAAACATGAAAGTTTACTGATGAAGGACCAAAGATGTCAACCCCCCCGAGTTACAACATCATCAAGACGTAGTTACAATATTACACGTAAGCGGGCTGGTGTAATTCAATGAGCGCGTTTCTGGAATTATGCCGAAATATCGGTAGCTCGAATGCGTTTATTGGTTGTTGGTCAGGTGTTTGTTGGTCTACTAGCCGAATTAGTTAGTGATTTGCAGAAGTTTCGTCACTCACTGAACGCTGGTGGTTTATTCTCCACTGGTGACAGGGTTTGCAAGCCAGTTGCCCAGCTCCGTTAACTGATCGACAGCCGGCCTGTCGTGTCCATTGACTATATCGTTTAGCTACCGAGCTTCACTTCCAGTTGACCTCAATCGTATATCCAATCAACAATAAGCAGCAGATTTTGGGCAAAATGCAAGATCAAGGAGTATCGAGAAAAGCATACCATTGCTTAAAGCTGAAGGAAGTTTGAGTGAGGGTAAGAAGTAGTGTGCTATGTTTGCTTAGGTATCACGCTATTTCCGGCCCTATGGTGTTGCTTGAGGCTCTTAACTTGCGATCCTCACTGGAGAGTGAGTGATAGAATCTTCGACTGATCAACATAATCTCTGTGCTGATGTCGTACTGAGGAGTTATCAGGGCAATGAGCTAAGAGTTTTGGGAAACACTGGTCTGGTGTGTTAAGAAAAGCAGTGATCTCAGATCCCAGATGTCATTGGTCGCTGAGGTTCAACTGTTTCCGATTATCGTTTTTGGTGAACAACTCGTATCTTGAAAGGGCTGGGGTAAAAAGGTTTGGGTCCTGCTTATGAGTGAGTCTGAGGCGTTGCAAATCAGTGCCTATCATCGACTGAATCGTTCACTGAATGTAACCTGATCGAGATGCATGTGGTAGGCTAGCGTTGAGCATTTCCCGCTCTCCTTTCTGTAATAAAAATTATCTCCACACGAAATAGGGGGCTCTGAAGCATCAGTGCTTCTTCCCTCTCCAGAACGAACGCGGGTTAAGGAATGCAAAATGTAGTGTATTAATCTATGTAAACAAGACGGTATAGCAGAGTAGACTTTACCTTAAACTGGAGGATATCTGGTCGATCAGTAGAGAGGAATAGTCTTTTCGGATTCGCAGATGGATTTGTGTATGACACCAGTTTTCTGTGTGAGTCGGTTCTGTGCATTTCGTTTACGACGGGAAACTCAAGTTCGAAAGACTTTGTTACTTCTGGGGGTTTGACTTCCAAGCACAACATCCAGGCATATGCAACACGCTGTGTTGTTTCGTCCACCAAATTAACCAGATAATGGTGTGTTCCTGTTCGATGGGGGTAAACCTTCGCCTGGAAAAAGCATGCCACGGGAAATTAGACGAAAAATATGTATAAACCTGTAGTAAATGTATGATGAACTACAGATAGAAGGGTAAGCGTGTTCGGGGCAAAAGTCTATGAACGCGGAGTAATTTTTGAAAAATGGGTGTAATAGCTCACCTTAAATTCGTAGACACCGATGGGAACCATCACGCTCAGCATGCTTTCTGAGAGCCCCTTGGATGCTGCTGTTCCCAATCTTATTTCTTTGTGACTTACTTGAACCGTCATTCGACGAGGCCAGTTGGTCAAGAGTAAGCGATCTGACTGAAATGATAGATCGATTTGAGGTGAGGGGCAGCCAAGGGTGGTCACCAACTTTATACTCTGCAGCGCATGAACTACACAACGCCATAGATACGCCGGACGAAGCTGACTTGGCTCGATGTATATTGCCAGTAGGAATTCACGCGTCTGCAACGAAATGACCAATTTTGAAGTGATGTCGAGCATTAGAAATCATGTACACCATGGTTCACTGATATACGAAATGGTTGGTTGTCCCGTCCACTTGATCAGGGCAAAAGATTATGTGGAAATCAGTCTGGTAGAACTTGCGAAATGCTTGTGGGCGACTTCATGTTACGACACGCTTGACGCCAATCGATCAACCCGTCCAAAAACATGTTGAGTCTGTGTCCTATCGTCTCTGACATGGAATCCGACTAGGTGAAGCAGTCTAGATTTAGGTTTCAAAGCAGTTTCCATTCTAATGTATTAGCTAAAATGTGAACCTGTTCTGGCTGGAATATTTATAAATTACCTACTGCCACTTAATGAAGCAGTCCAAACAATAATTTCCCTCCTCACAAGAAATCATTCCACTTCATCAGGTTATGTTTTGAAGTTGATACTTTTTAAGCACCTACCCCAAATTCCAAGCAGGATGACAAATCGCTGCACAAAGCTTTCATGTATCGGATCGCCGACAAGCAGCTGAAGACGAAATTGTCCCCTCTAAGTGGTCGGAGGTGAATTTTGACCCACCGTGAAAACCACCCACAAATGAGACCACTTATTTGTGACCCCCTGTGAGTTCTGCTGGTTAACTCCCTCCCAGAGGTGATCAAGTATCGGAGAGGACCAATATGGTGAGTTCGTGCAGGGGATGTCTACAGTTTTTCGCTCCAGGATATACTGAAAATATATCGATCAGAAGTGATCGTTAGGGACCCCCTCCACTGGTCTTTGATCTATTCTACTTTGGGCTCTACGACTGAAGAACCAGATTAAACTTGCCTCCTTGGGATAGTAATTCATGATGGTGTATCCAGGAGAGCGATACTGTACTTTCAAAAGTAAATGAAGCATTAGATTTCACGGACAGAAGTGCATTAATATAGAGAGCTCCAATATTTCGGAGTGTGAAAACTTGTGTTAACCGTGCGGAATTTCTTTCAAACTCTAGGGTTTTTTTGGCCTCCACATCTAATTGCTTTCCGACTATATTTACGTGCGATTCCAGGTTGTGTTGTAAAAATTAGCTTCCTTAGTGAGCTACCCCCACTATGCAACGACAGAGACCTCCATGCTTTTGTGTGGAGATAGATGAGATCATACTGCAAGAACCGATAGACCTTACCGTTAGAAAAGATTACCTCCATAGTAGCCACAGTTGAGTCCAGTAGACTTTTTCTCTATAGAAAACCAGTAGACTTTGTTTTTTGGAACTGAATGAACGGTGGGTTTACGAATCAGCAGGTCGCAGCACTGGAGGACTGAAGATAGAAACTAGGCCTGTCGTTTGATCAGTGGTTCAGTGCATAAACGAATATGCTCACAAAGTCTAGAGGTATTTGGGACTATTTGGAAGTATGCTTGGAAGTGTTCTGCAGTTTTTCCGTATTTCCCCTCAGTAGTTCTGCTTCAGCAACTCGTCTGCGTTCTGTCGGACTTTCACAGATGAATTCATGGTTTCGTTTGGTCTCCTCGAACTCGAACTGTACTGAGAGTTTGTGATAAATTTACAGTTTTTGATTCGGTACCTTGGTTTCATTATTTCATATCGCACTCAGATTGGGCATCGTTTACCAGAGTGACCAGTACCATTTCTGGACGTGTGTAACTAGTGACTACTACCGTTAGCGTAAACTAATGTGAAGTCTTATCCAAGTCTAACAGACGTACTCGGATTCGTTACCAGAGGCAGTAGGACTATGTTTCACCATTAGTGAAATACACTAATTTGCACACAACCTTATAAGTAGTGCGTTACGAATATACATGTATCGCGATATCCCAAATATCGTAGCAACTGAAGCATGAGGCGGCCTAGTGCAGCACGTTCAGTTGCCTGGAAACATCACAAATGAGAGATTCGGCTGAGCAAATATCCAGATGCCATGTGCTGCCAACTACTTTAACAAGTATCGTCTGCTGATCGATGGTCATGTTGCACTCAGTAAATCAGGGACAGATTAGAAATGCAACCAAAAATAGATCGTAACATGCAACGGCCGTGCACAAAGACGAGAGCAAAGACAGTGTTTCCCTCGATTTAGCCCAGTAGTGCCGTCGGATTACATGTGAATAGACAGTTCACAACGAACAGCACAATGATATAAGTACAGAATACAAGTACGATTATCCATCTGGAACCATTTAACCGTGGGATACGGTAAGAGTAAACAACCGAAGAGTGATTAGGACGCCCATAACGATCGGTTAATTGTGTAACTCTTCGTGTTTCCACACTGTTTGCAAAAAGCTGCTCGCAGTCCGGTGAATTCCTAGTCATACATATAATGTTGAGTGAAACTTCAAAAATTACTAGTTGTCTTGCCGTTTTGACCTTGAGAGCCCAATTGGTATGTGGTTTTAAAGAGCAGTTGAAGCGGAAAATCAAACCACGTGATTCATCTTATGACTCAACAGTCCCTTTTTTCATCTAACTAGGCTCGTTCCGCAGTCCATTGATCCTTATAACGAATAGCCGTAAATCTGTCCAGATCCGGGATGTGTAGAGACAAATTTGCACGTAAATTCTCCCTGGAGGATGTCGGTGTTCCAAAAAAGTGGTGAAAAAGATTTTATTGCACATTGTCCCTATCTTATCTATGTTGCTCCACAGCAGTGAGATTGCTTTGGTGTAAGTATTGACGTGAAAAATGAGGGCCAATCCTGCCTTTCAATAACTTCACAAGATCCAATACCCGAAAACAGGTTTTGCAAGGTTATTTTATCAAAAACGTTTCTAACGTTCGGGGCATAGCGATAATGCTATTGTTCACACTCCATAATCGTGAACACTAACTGTGTGTGAAGTGATCAAAACTAACTTAGTTCACCTCAGGACTTTTTCCGGTATAAATTTCGACAACTATTTCACATCTTCCTCCTTCTGCAGTTCTGCACTCCGCTGATACGGTTGGATCGGATGCAAAGGCCCACAGTCGGACGTCCATGCTGTGCTGGTTTATGGGCTTATCTCCGCCAAAGGAGTTAGTCATGGCCACCGGAAATCGCTGCATTGGAGGAAGACGAAGGACTTCTTTATGACAGGTCATTTCTGGGGCGAAAATGCGGATAGTTCGGTCGAGCACAGGGCGAGCAACATTCACCTCAAGCAGTAGCTCACTAATGCATTTTTTGGATTCTTTCGACCTGAAATCAACCTGAAATATGGAGAGGTAGCGTACCATTTCTTTGGAACCAGCCATGTAACAGAACAAAAGCGATGAGACGTGTGGCAAACTGTTATGTCCACAAATTAAGTTCAATGTCATGGACGCCGAAAATCAATGGCTATGTTGGCTGAAAAGCAATGGGAGAACAACGCCATTGTTTCGAGGGGTTCTTTCATGTTTTTGGCTCCAAATATAACAGCATGTTCCTTTCATTTTCTGCCGGATGAGTAACCCTCGATCTAAACCTCAACCGAGCCACGTACATGGATAGCATAAAATAACTCGTGTGTGATTGTAGTGGGCAGAGAAAACACTGAGCTTTGGCGTTGTTTAGATACATATCCGTAACATCAAGTGTGGGAAGCACTATGAACGAAATATTCCTCGGTTTTTAGGCGTAGACAGGAAGAGTTGAGAAAGCCAGAGATGAGCTGGACCCTACGGTCGAGATCTAAAATTTGCTCTGTAGCAGCGTCCGCAGATTACCCATTAGTACGCTATATTGAGGTGAGGTCAATGGTTTGAGTAGCCTGTTGAGCAAAGTCGGTTTGAGTTGGCGAGGCGATTGCGCCGTTTCTCGATGAAAGCTGTGCTATCAGCAGTGCATTACAAATAGAAGAAACGAAGACACTCAAGTGACCGTAAATGACTCAGATTTACCAAACACTTCCCATGCCTTGTTTCGAATCCTCTAGTCCTAGAACGATGGTAAATCATGACGAGTGAAGCCAGTCAGCAGTGTGTCTTTGCAAGATCATAAGTAGGGGCAGATTGCCATTTTATCAGCCAAGGAATACCGTATTTTACAGCGAGTACAACAATCACTCGTAGGGCTGCTAACTTCCGGAATGAAAATTTTCTTCCACCTAGACGGAATGTAACGTAATGTGGCACACAAGCTCATTGTGATGGATTAACGCAACACGAAAGCATTTTTTGGTGGTTGTTCAAATGGCCGCCAGTCAGTTCGCCGAGCTTAGCAACTGCCTTACAAAAGTGTCATGATCAAGCTAGGTGACATCATCAACTGCACACTAACTGAGTCACCTCGATTGGTGACGAAATGTTTGCAAGCTAAGTACCAAGTCCGACGAACAGATCAATGACCACCTAACCGGCCATCAATGAACGCACCGGAGCTACAAAAATTGCATTATTTTATTCCAGCGAATTGGCCGCTCCCGCTTAACATTGGTGCATAAGAACCTAGGTTTGCGAAGTAGCATGCTGCTTGTCGATACACTGGTTTTGAAACCAAAAGTACATTTTGCGATCACCAAGTTTTTTTTTAAAATCACAATTTTCACAGTATAATGGCTCTAGCAAACACAGTACTTCCTCATTCACACTGAGATTTTTGTTGGTTTCTCGGTACAGTGGTTGGAACTGGTACTTTAAGATCGCGTCATTGTGTGGTCAGCAACAATCATCACGACTTCTATAGGATTTTTGTCACTATCTAGGACTGTTGCTTAGGTTGAATTGTGTAGGTCGATGGATGCGCTCAAGGGACGTAGCAACCAGAAGCATTCATTATGTTGGTGAAGACTTGGGAATGTCAATAAAGGTTTTGTCTTATGAGTGAAACCAATCTGTTTCTGAGCCAGTTAACGGTTCTCCGTGATCCATCAACGAACTGGCTTCACTTAGAGGAAAAAAGCTCCATTGAAAATGCACCCATCTTGTCTAGTGTGTGGCAGTGGGGGCAAAAAGCTGCCTTAGTCTTAAGTGTTCGTAGTCACTTAGGCAGACGTGCCCAGCCTAAACATCTGATTTAGACTATAAGGAAAATAACAATGGCTATGGAAAATAAGCTAGCGCAAATTCATGCCATGCAACAAGCTGTGTGGGTCAAAGCTGTGTGAACCTATCGACGATGTGTTACCGACTTAAGGCAGGCGTTGTATTACCCCACTAAAGCTTGTAATTTCTTGAAAATGGTTTGCTAGCTTGACACCATGTTTAGTGAAATAGACGAATACAACGTAAGATTTTACATTAGGACGCATCAGCGAATTATTAATATGTCATCATTGCCATCATGGTTCACTAAAAGGCGTCTCCTTCAAACTGCTGTTCACAAGGTGCAAACCATTCGGCTGACGAAAGTTAATGGATAGAGCCTCTGTCTTAGGAAGGAATCCAGGTCAAACAACTATTCGCGATTGCACCCTACCGTTGCAACGATGCCAGAAACTGCAGCTTGATATTTTTTGTTACCCTGGTGAAGTGTCCATCCATATTCTTGCGATTGTTGCGGAAGCCGATCACCTGGTCTAATTGTTGTATCACAGGATTCTCTTCAACTTTATTGCTGCTCCAGTTGACGAGAAATAAATAGGACAGCATCCAAGGTCCTAGACCTTTTGATTATGGGATCAGTGAAGGCAAACCTACAGGACTGTTATTTGGTAGGATAACACGCGTATCAATTATTGCTCTCAACTACTGCGGATGTCTCTATACGGAAATGACGAAGTTAGCACAGCTTCTTCGAGCTCATAGAAAGATATATTGACTGAATTTCCGGGATCAACGGTCGAAACGCCCTCTGGTTCCATGTGTTCACTCGCATCAGCAGAAGTAAATTCTAATTCATAAGTTTTCTACGGCCCAATTGTACTTTGTACCCTTAAGTGAGATTATCCTATTTTGTGTGATTTCGATGTGATCTAAACTTAAGACTCCCCAATAATAATCGGAACCATGAATTCTACGCGTAACACGATTTCAGACTGAAACATGTTAAAGATCATCATAGGAAAATGGCTTTCCAACTAATTTCGTCGGTCAAGAATCGTTTTTCAAAAAAGACGACTTAACGAGACTCAACAGTCATAATTAACTGTTGCATTTCGTTCAAAGAATTGTGAGTGACTATAGTTCAGATGCGCGTCGATATAAGCATCACCAACCGACATGAAACCAAAGGAGGCTTGAAAATTCGTAGAATAAGTTTCCTCTCAGGTAGAATTGGGTTGACTTTGTCCAGTGTGTTTCACTGTACATGTTCTCCCTATAGATCACTGTACACCATGCATTTCTTTACAGCTACGTAAACGACAGAAATGACGTTTTTACAGTCAGTTTACAGTTTAATTTCAACATTATCAAACCCAGTATCCCACGAAATATATTTCAGACAGAATGCTCGCCTTTCTGGTTAGTGGATACTCATATAACTCAATACGTATGTTTGAGGAAACTCCATTTTACTACTTTTACAGGTGGTCTTATGAACAGGAGACTATTCCCTAACCGGAAAATAATAGAAAAGCTGAAATACATCGTCCCCCGCTTTTCTTGTGTCCTTATTTATTTATTTATTTATTTATTTATTTATTTATTTATTTATTTATTTATCTACTTATTTATGGTAGGATGAATTCTTTGGCTAGCCCACTCGTGGGCTAAGATGGAAGTGAAACAATATGCGCTCTCTAGGTTGTCACTCCAATGGTCCTGCGAAATAATCCAATAGCTTTTTTGTTTTAATGTACCGCCGTGCCAGCGAGTGTCACCGCGGTCTTTGGTGGTTTGCTTCGCCGGGTACACGCTTCATCTTTGAACTATAATTAAGAGCGAGTAGTGACGGCTATTTTAACCAACTAATAACTTGTTACGGATCACAGCTGTTGATTCACTTGATCGTATTCAAGCGGAGGTCCGTATCGAATGAAATGAATGAATGAAGAAATGACTAATAACGTATGCTTTGCGCAATCTCAGCCGCCCCAATGGGGCACTTCACACACGCTCACCTTCGTCGAGTAGATGCCCAGCCGTTTATGAATGATGAGAGCTTTGGTTCGAATACTCGGCTCCCGTGCTCACGACATGAAACTACATGTGATGTGGGATGAATTTGATCCTAGCAAATTTTACGCAGACACCTACTTGCGGTGGAACGAAGACGTGTCCAAACGAACTGGTGGATCAGACGAGTTCCGAGTGCGGCTGGGGTTAGTCTATTCCCACTGGGTACGATAACCGTTGATTTAGGCAAACCGTAGCGATTTGGTTTATTCAGGGTTCTCCTATTTGGGGAGTGGGACGTTTCAAACCAAATTCCTGAGTCAAATATTCCGTTAACTGATAGAGATCCGAATACCGTAGATTCTCGGCCTGATAGAGCGATAGTTCAGAAATGTTTTACAATAGGCCCTGTGCTCCACGCAAGACTGCGATCGGCCAAGGCGGTTGTTTAACTCTTATGAATTTTCAAGCCTTATGAGGCCGTTTAAATGTTTGAAATTACGCAAGTGAACACTCTCCTTTTTACCGTACGTGCTTCAATAAAAAACCATAGAATGGCTGCAATTTTTGTAGTTTCTGAGCACTAAGTATTCAGTTCATTGTGCTCCTGGGTAACAGGCTCTAACTACTGGTATTCTGCCAAAAAAAATGTTAATAGCACAAACAAGATCCTTCACAACAAGAGATGGTTGCACAGTAGAGATTCAGGAATTGATAACTGGAGTAGTATATGGCCCGTACGCAATAGCTAATGGAGAACACGCATAATGATACTCACTTTGTATCGATCAGTTCTTTCGATCAAGGAGCTTGTTCTGTATTTAAAAAGTATCCGTACAGATTCACCAGGATGAATGAATAGTGATGGTTTTCCGTTATTCCAGGGGTCTCTCGCTATGACCAAGTCACTCCCAGTGGGCGTGCAAGCTGCGAGGGCACTTTTCAGAGCCTTCACTTCATTTGGGTCCACGATGATTTCCATGGTTTTACTGGAAAAAATTTAATACTTATCTTGATCAGGCTTATATGGACTGAAACGCTGTTTCGTCAAATTCTGTCTTGTGTTCAACTCCATCGTTTTTGCTTAACTGTCTCTATGGATTTACAGATCTCGTATGACAGAACGCTTAGCAGAAATGACGGGGTGGAGAGTAATTTTGCTACTTATGAGTGTTTAGGACATCGATTTTAAATAGTCATGGATGAGCTGAAGTTTGCCCAGTTCTCTGTACGATGAAGTTGTTCGCAGTTCCTGAGATTCTCTTTATGTCAAATTTCCTGCATACTGTGGTTATCCTAAGAGAAACATCACGTACTCGATAAGTGTTGGCTACAAAATCACGTGCCCTGGATACATGGGTGTAGATGATAAATCTGGTCTACTGCTTCTGATGTCTAGTCTGACTTTTTCAGGTGAATGTCTGTTTGGCACCTCCATGAATTGTTCTTGACAAAGAATGCGCGGTTTTCAAAGGATGTTCCATTCGTTTTGCAGTGTGCACAGCCAGGTTACCGTTTGGTCGTAATTCTACTATGACCTGGAATGCAAAGAAGGGTCGGGCACTGTGGGGTGGGGGGTTCCTCCTCGTTGATTTATTCATTAAACCCTACGAATTGCAGCAGGGCGCTTTAAAAATTGTTCACGTGACCATGTACAGTTGCCTCCTCTACCTTGCCAGCTTACCGTGCCCCTTAGAGTAGTTTAACGAGCTTCCAGTCATTCACGCAGCTGCAGGTGAGGGTTCGGATTTAAGCGGGGGTGAGCTTCCCCACGACCTCCATAAACAATGGTCAAAGTCCGTAAGAAGTAAGCAGGCTAAGGCTTTTACTAAATATCGAGTGAACTGCTAAATAGACCACTAAGAAAATCGTATATCTACTCCAGTGGCAGTAGGAGGTACGGAACGCACCTCCTTTAGAAGTTATTGTGTTCACATTCTCATTGAGCTATCAAAGGAACACAAAGAAGGAACGTACCTGTCTCCTTCAATCGAAATTTCAATTACGTCCTCTTGCTCTGAAGGGTTACACAGTTGAAACTCGAAAAATTCTGTACAACCAAAGCTGGTATACAGACAGTGCTCGACAGTGGTAGGGATGCTTAGCATTCGTTCGATTTGTTCCTGTCTCTTCTGATTTCTGTACCGCTCAGTGATGTTCAGTTCTTCGAACTTGCCCGTCTCACCTACCTTTAAAGCATGTCAGCGACAAACTGGTCAGAGAAGGAGAAAATGGTCCCACGAAAAATTGTGACCAAATTCATTAGAAAGCGTCCGGCTAGATTACTTCTGGAAGCACCCAGTGATAGTAGGTAAATACTGCGCTGAAATATGCGATCACATTTAGATAGCTGATCACCGAGAGTTGTCTAGGTACTTACTCACGAGTAATTGTTGCAGTCTATTATTTAGCCTTACGTGAAAGGATCATAGGGTTTGTGTCACCTATCTGTTTGACTTACAACAATAAAAGAGACGACAATGTGTCGGAATATTGGTGGCTATGGTGTGTTTTTGATTGTTGCTCGGGTGCCTGTTGATCTGTTCGCTGAGCTTGGCAACTGGCATACAAACATTTCCTGGCCAGACGAGGGGCACCATCAGTGCGTGCGCTAATGTTGTCCTATCGGTTGGTGACGAAACGTTTGCAAGCTAATTTCCAGGATCGACGGACAGATCAGCGCCCACCTGATCAAAAACCGGTAAAAGAAACGACATACGGTCGCATCACTTTGTGAGCATTCAGTAAAAGATTGAGTTACAGAAACTGGAGACGAATATGGAGGGGGTGTTGTACGACTACCCGGAACAGTAGTTGAACCATTCCAAAATTCATTGGTTGCACGTTAGTGGAGCATCAGTGTTGAACACTGATGTCATGCTGTCGTTGATGATGACTGGCCCGAATAACCGAGACAACAAACGCTGAATACATCTGCACTGAACAACTGTTACTGAAATTGACCCAGCATTACACCTAGGTAGGTCAACTGTCTTAGAGCTAATGTGAAGGGCGTGAAACTACGTGAAAGGGTTAGGGAATGCACAGCAAACTTATTAACCAAATTAGTTTCAATGAGTGAGGACAACCGCTAAAAGTATGAAGACTTTCGTGGAATTTGACCGCATCAAAAGTCAAGACTTACGCCGCTACGAAGTAATCGGACATAGCTGTCAGAGAGAGCTCCATATTCTGTTCCCAGAACGGCTGCATAGAATCGTGTCAGTTCCACTTCGCCTCCTTGATATGCTGAGGAAAGATCTTTACTAGTATCCGGTTTATGATAGCCACATTGAACTTCATTCAGCAACGCACGTAATTCTGCGCTGATCTCCTTGAGAGCACGTGCTCGAATCACAGTGCCGAAACTTTCCGTTTTCGATTGAGGCAAAGACTGCAAAAGTTGGAATTCACATGCATCCGAGAGAGCTCCACCCTTAAACCTGGTTGTAATAGGGGATGCGGAAGATTCATGGTAACCTACTCACCCTATCAATAGTCTCATAAAAGACGTGTTGTAACAAGCTAAAATGAGTTAGTTAAAGCACCAGTATGAGACAGTTGAAACAACGGTGAAAACGCAGTTGGCATAATTCTAGTTTTTGACGAAAGTGAAGCGTGAAGTGATGTAGTTGCTCAGCCGGACAACTCATAACCCACTGGTAGCTTAGCCCTGAACTTCCTTCGGGTTTCATGGAGGTCACGCATCAACTTGGTTCTCTGGCTGAAGGTTTCTTTGCTTGTATTGTGTCACCCTCAGGTATTCAATGTGGGGACACATCCACAGTCATCCGGATGTAAAAGCTCTCCTACAAGAGTCGAAAGATAGTATGTTCCTATGTGGCAGATGAAGACATCAGATACAGGGGTTTTATCGGAGCTTTAAGGTAGGCACTTTACACTGACAGCTAAAATCATAAATACGGGCCTAAGCTGATGTTCAGAAGAAGAGGGAAACGACCTGTTAGGCAAATGTTCGGAAAAGCAATATGCATAAATCAGTGGATGCTACAGGTGCTACAAGAATGTCAAGGCTGGTTACCGGAAGCTGGATACAGCCCGTTCTACTGAGCAGCGCCCTGTGAGTGCACTTGAAGCGTGTTCCGACTCCCGAGGGTAACTGAAAGTTCGACTAGGATGCATGCTTTACAGGATAAGCAGGTCGTTTCCCCCAAGAAAACTTCGTGAAACCTCCAGCGGTGACAAGTCTATGGTGTATGAACTGCTATGACAGTTTAGATTACAGAAAAAATAAATTCGGCACAACCTCAGGTTCGAAATGATGTTCGCTCAAACCCAAAAGGTAGCTTTTTAAATTAAATATGTGAGCCAATTGTCTGAGCTTGTGACGTACATAATAACTGACGGTTCGATAGATGAAGGACAAGTCCTTCTGAAAAACAGTACTAAGGTAAAGGTACGTAAAAAGACAAACAGTTCTGGAGGAGTTTGTTACGCAAAAAACTGGAAAATACGGATGAATCCATTCAACACAGAAATGTTTATCGATCTTTTGACCACTTTGATCCTCCGTTCTATTCTTCGTTGACCCAAATTGTTGAAGAACATGAAGTTAGGGTGTAGAATATGTGACTAATTTCCGATTTCTGATTTATGGGACAGCTTTTACACTCTGAAGGGACCCATCAAAAGTCGGTCATCTGCCGCTTTGCTAAAGTCCTCTCTCTTAAAGGTGATGTCCCACGATGGGCAAAATTACAGCTATTTCGCTCCTGTTAACTTCCGTGGAAAAGTGTAAATTCACCTGTTTCCGTTACACGTGCGTTACAGCCGCGTTTTTGTGCCGTAAAAACTAAAGACTGATGAGATAGACATTTTATAGATTTCTTTACTAGTGTTTAGACTGACAGGAGTGCCGATATGTAATCTACTTACCTCAGTAATGTGCTATCCATTTGGCTGTCGACCAAATGAGAATTAGTCCTTCTCTTAAATGCTGCCACCTGACACCGCGGAGTTCCGGAATTCCTACCCAAGTTAGACAATCGAAGGTGTAGATGGCCACGCATAGCATCGACTGCCAAGCTTTCTCTATACGACGTACTCGACTCTCCGGTGCGGATTACCACCGACTTGATTGATACTTGGACCGCTGGTTTTTGTTGTCGACATAATTGCTGTTTGAAAAGGCGTAAGGACGGGATGTTCTTTACTGTGACGCAGCAATGACGGCAAGTAGAGTACATGGAGAAAATTGTCTCAGAATATATGAATTTGCTCGCACATTTGAAAATTTTTTACTAGTCAGCATCACTGGGGGTCCGCTCCAACCAATCACTAAATCCCAAAGGGACCAAAGGGGGTTGGTGCGATTCCGTAGACTGCTGGACCGTACAGGAGGGCTCTCATATGGCATCCATAAAGCTCGTCATACCGGATTAGTGAATGGATTGAATTCTGGTGAAAGCGAACTCCTGCCTCCCCCCTACATGATGGAGATCACAACATCAGGCAAACGGAAAATAAGGTCCACTGGTATTTCCTCCAGACCGCGCTGCCTGACGGCCAGGTTTTTTGTTCAAAGGCTCGGGTCAAGGGCCCAACCTGAGCACAGCCGCGAGTTATAAAACCGGAGTTAACCTCAGTTCTATCGGCCGTCGCATGGTGACACAAGTTGGGTCGCCTTGATCGAAGGATGTTCACCTACCAAAGTAACTGGGAACAGGACTGCTCTTGTTCATACATTGAATTTACTTAACATCGATGTATATTGCAGACTGCACACAAGAATTCATGATTCAGACACGACGGCCGAGCTAACTGTCCTTTCTTTTCCGGTTACACACTTCTTATAACAGCTTGCACGGGAGTCCGTATCCCCGTACATTGGCAAACGGAATCAATTGTGCTAGAATGGTTGATTGCTGATGGTCCTCTCTGGGAGATTCGTTCGATAACGTCCGTTGTGGAATCTCACGAAGAAGTCAATGGATGCTTGTCCATCGTGTCTGCTGAAGACCAAAACACTTTACAGCATCGACACTATCATAAAGTTTTTTATGACGTGCTGCTTACTCTGTCAAGGCGGGTTAAAAGTTTAGATATTGTCGTGCTTCTTCAGTGGGTATGAATGTGCAAGTGGGGAGACTTGGCACAGTTTAGACTCAATGACACTCCAATGGCACTCGGCACATGCAGACAACGGCAAATGAGTGCTCCAAATAAGTAATAACCTGAAGCCGGTATGATGCATTGAACATCGGGAGTAAGGACACTATTTCATATGGTTTTTCTCACGACTGCACATAATCTCTTAAGTCATGTTTAGGGTATTCACTACATCACAATTATTCTTTATCAAGCTGCCGTGGCGTTTCATACGGGCCATATATTAATATACCAGTTGCGACAACGAAACAATTAGTAAAACTTAATGTCTGGCCAGATTCGCAGAAAAGTGATGTAATTCGTTCGTATACCAGACCTCCGCGCAGAAATAGTCATCCATGTGTGAAGTGGATAGAAAATTGAGTAATGGTGACTTGAGTTCCATCGAAAATCCTCTTTAGGACCGGCCGAACCTCTGAAAAACTCATGGGTGAGTTGATTACCAGAAGTTTGGTGGTCAGGATTTTGTTTACTAAACAGCTGGAACATAACTCATTAAAAAAACAAAACATGGTTGAACATGGTTTACCCATATGACAAGGGCAAATTGTGTCAGGAGTGCAGATTAAAACGATTCCTTAAAACCTGTTATCATATTTTGAGACCACTGACTGTCCAGCACTTTCGGTCGGTGTTTAAGGATCACACGAAAACGAACACTTCGTTTGATTTTGTAGTCATGTAGCAGGGAAATCTTTCGTGACTGTGAACGAACTCCATCCATGTTATCAGTCTAATGTCCGATATTTATTCAACATAACATTTTAACTATTGTTATCATTAGCAATCGAAGCCTTTCACATTGGCAGATAAGCTCCGCCTAAGTGACCTAAATCCAAAGGTTTGGTAAGTCAGACCATGTTTATCACTAAAAACTGTTTTATCGTGCTAAAAGGTCTTGCCTCGGACACCAGTGAATGCAAATCAGTTTACATGCATAATATGTGCAGACGACATCTCCTCTTGGAGCTGAAATCTATTTTGAATGAGCCCAATAATCATATCACAGAACTCTTATCAGGTTAGCTGGGATTAAGCTCAAACAAGCACACGAAAATGACCAACCAGTCGTTTAACTTGGGAACAAGTGTACTTGGATCAAGCATGGAAAGGAAGCAATCAGTCTTGAAAGGACAAGGTTAGAGCTTGAGACAGCCAACGTCACGGCAGTTTTCAAGACATTAAAATTATCCGCTTTATCAGCCCTCATTAAACGTAGAGTATTCAACTTTTCCACATCCACCAACCAAGGAAATCGTCCATCGAACACACAATCATTTTCGACTTGGTGCAGGCAACTCGTAGAAGATCATGTCCTAGGCTAACAGTGCAGTGATGTAAGGGTTCAATGGGCAACCGCATCTGAGCTGCACATGACACGCACGACG